TTGTAAGCGTATCAAATTTGTAGTATTTATTTCAAAGAGAAAGTTGATGAAGAGCATCCAAGGGACTGTCAACTTGAGTATTTTCGATTCATCTACCCGACTTGCGAAGGTGTACTTTGAATTTTGTTGTTGTTTATGAATTTTTAAGTTTTGTGCATTTTGGTATTACAGTGTATTCAATTCACCCCTCACAGGATTACCTTCCGAATTATATGAATGGGGCGGGGCGGAAAGTATCGTTTGTGCAGAATATGTAAAAAAGGAGGGACTTCGAGAGATTGAACTCGTGAGAACTAATTTTCTCACAAGTTTGATTCTATTGGCTTTCTGGGGACTGAATATACACCCAAAGCGAATTATTCCCACTTCTCTCAAACTCTATATGGATTTTTAGCACTGCCTACCAGCGTGTTCTGGAAAATGGTCGGACGATGATTAATCTCACCAATACATTCGGGCCTACAATTCCACACCTTCTATAGAGACCAGGTTGAGCCTTGATAGCTAGCTGCTTGCAGGAACTGATGACCTTGACAAATGTCCAAATAATACTCTTAACAAATTTATGTTAGTCCTGAAAAGGAGCGTTTTGTAGTGATGGTTGAGTAATACTGAGCTGAGCACGACGAGCTACTGATTCCGATCCTAGCGGTGGGACTACTTCCTTCTTCTCGATGGTTGCTCATATGAGCTCTGCAGCTCGCTGCTTGCAGGCAGCCTTTCGTTGTTGTTGTTGTTGTTGAAAGCACTCCTGCTGCTGCTGCTGCTACTACTGCTGCTGCTGGACTGGACACCACCATTTACGGTGGTGGGACCGCATCGAATTCGATTTTTAAGTCTGTGTTAGGGAATGCGCTGTTTTCAGACAATCGGTGATAATTTTGATCACCATTGCAACAGTTGGACACTTGGTATTTTTCAATAGTGATCTATTGAAAATTAACTAAAAGTTCATTAAGCAAATTGGTAGATAAATTTCCAATCGTTTGGCTTGTTTAGAATTAAAATCTATCTGCTATTGGTCGAAACCTGACCTCTTTTCGTAATGCTGTGCATTTTGGTTTTTTGAAATTGCGTGGATTCTATAGATCCTGTGGAGATCTATCTAGCCCTGATGTATGTGTTGGTAGAGGGAAAAATGTAAACTTTACGGGAGACGATGTCTTAACACTCGAAAGCAATTTTGTGAAATATGAAGTAAAACAAATCCTAGCTAGTTCTGCATGATGATTTTGTTTGATTTTATTTATTTGTAAAGTCGCCGGGAAATACCAGCTGGCGATTTGTTTTTTTATGATAACTCCTTATTTGAAAACAGGCAAAAACTCACAAACAGGCAACAATTCCACACCTTCTATAGACAAGACAGCTTAAGCCTTGATAGCTAGCTGCTTGCGGGAACTGATGACCTTGACCAATGTCCAAATAATACTCTTTAACAAATTTTTAGTGGCCCTGAAAAGGACCGTTTTGCAGTGATGGTTGAGTAATTCTGAGCTGGGTGTTCAACACGGATGAGACTGTCGAGCTGTATGTCGTTTGGAGTGAGGGTGACACACATGGCATAGATTCCCGACCCGCAGCGACTCACGAAGAGCTACTGATTCCGATCCATAGCATAGCGGTGCAGCTTCTTCCTCCTTTGATGGTTGCTTATATGGGTTCTGCAGCTCGCTGCTTGCAGGCAGCCTTTCGTTGTTACTGGAGAACAATTTTCAACGCCACACGCCGAAAGCACTGCTACTGCTGCTACTGCTGCTACTTATTTCGACGACCGAACACCACCACACAGTGGTGTGGTCGTTGGGAGCGTGTGGTTCTGAGTATGGCGATGAGTGTGCAAAATATTACGCAATTCCATCCTCCCTATTCGCACGCGCCCGAGGATCGGAGGCGAATGCCACTTCGACTTGTTTCGTCTGCTTACTACTCTCTGACGACTGTGCTGGGGAAGCAGCATATGCATGTAGGTAATTGGTGGATTTGTTAGTTACTTCGACGCTTTTGGACAATGCTGGACATTTACCAGTTTTTCAATAGATTCTCGTTGAAAATTAACATTCGGAAGCATCGTTATCGATGCATAGCCATATTTCTGATCGATTGGTGATAAAATTATTGAAATTGGACCAGGGACAGCTGAGTTATTAACGTTCAAAATCTTTCTTGATTTGTTACATGTTCCATTTTCGGTTTTCACAAAGTGTTCCCCCATATAGAAATCAAAGACGCAGTCCTACGTCAAAAACTCTATGAACTTCATAGAGAACAGTAAAGTTTATGGAACTTGATGATTACAAACATCTTTCAGAACTGTGTGTTGCGCTGATCGTGTTGCATTTTTATTTTTTACAGTTTCAAATTATAGAATTGTCGAGTCGTTTAAAACAATTTTGAAACTCAGCATTGCGAACGGCCTAAGCTGGCGATTTTTGAACCATAACAGAACGGATGTAGGCCACGTTCACTAATACAACGACTTCGGGAAACGTTCGTACATAAGGGGGATAATAAATCCCATTCTTTTGTGAGGCTGCCTTTTAGAGTTTGACCACGATAGAGACAAGTTAGATAGTGCTCATCGGAAAGTAGACCGAAAATTAACATTGTGCGGGGATTTATAATCCGAGTAAATTTTAAGGAAAGTAAGTTCGTGAAAAAGCTGTAACGAACTTTAGTGCAAGCTAGATAATTACGGAAAAAAAGTGGTCGTAGAAGCCGCGGTCAAGGGGACTGAGTGCCCCATAAGATGCAGCGGGGGGCCCGATTGAACGTAAGTGAAGTGTAAAACCGTGCAAATTATAAAAAGTTTATAAAACAGTTCTTGTTAGGTGGAACCACTTGCACGAAATCCTAAACGCACGGGACCACCAGCACGTTAAACCTACGAATTTGTAGTGACAGCTGAACTACTCAGCAAGTGCACTAATCGTCATGCGTCGTGGGACCACGTGGACCACGTGTTAAAATTTACTAACCCTAGTCGATAAGCTATAGCAATTAATAGACAGAAGAGCTAGGAAAGGAAGTTGGGTTTTGTTAATGTCTCGACAGAATAAAGTGGAAGTAGCATGACCAGATTTTAGACTCTTTTCTAGAAACCTGAAAGCGTGGTCTTCAAAGAGGTAGTTTTACAGGGTACATTCGGTTCGGGTCGCAGTAGTATAGGCTCTGGATTGGCAAACCTACAAAGGACACCAATCCTCCCTGAAGTTGTTCCGATTTTGTTTTATAAGTTGTGGCTTAGTACCACGGCGTTCAGAAGTTCGGTTTTGGGTTGGAGGTCAAAGACAAGGACTCGCCCTAAGGTTTTGGCCGGGTACGGGATTTTGAAAGTAAGCACGCTCCTTCGCAGCAGGTTTCGACTTGTCTGGCGCTTTAGCGGAGGCCATTTTGTTCCTTCCTTTTGCCACCCTTCTATTTCCCGTTACAATTCTTTCTCTGGATGTTGTTTTCAGCTCCCTTTCAGAAGATAATTCAAACATTCCCCAGAGTTTTCTTGCGGAGTTTTCCGATCATAGTCCAAAAGTTAAAATTTTCGCTTTCAAAAACGGCAAAAATTATAACATTAATTAAAATAGCAAATACCGTTAAATACCGATTTTTTAAAACCTTTGATACCGATAAGCTTTAAAACATTCTGGCAATGCTGCTTTGGTGATGCCACATCGTTTGTATTTTCACAGCGAACGGAACCACTAGGGTAAACATTTACTTCGGCCTAATCGCCCATTTTGGTCCTATCGAGCAGAAAACATAAAATATATCTATTACTACGGCGTTAGTGATTCAGTTATACGTTTGGTACAATACTTAAGATCAAAAGCTACGACATAAAGCTTTTATGAACGAAACAGCTTCAAACTACTCCGCGATAATCCACGGAATCCTGTTTTGTAGCGAAATTCTTTTTTACGTGGGTACATTTTTCCATTTTTTTTTTCGTGGTGAAGTTAATAAATGTCTGTAGTTACCATACCTTTGTAAGATTTTCTTTTCTGACATTTGAAACCAGTTGCATCAAAATATGTACCTCTATACATAAAAAATCTTTATTTTAGATCCAATGTCATCCACAATTTGCGAATAATCTTTCCCCAAACATTTACCATTCACACATTCTAATCAAACCCCAACCGTGTTCTTCTTTCCTTGCAGTGACCGAAGAACCGCATCGTAATTCTCGTCGAATCCGTTCTCCTTGCATTGAGCCAACAGCGGTGCAACAGCCCCGGATATTGCTAGCCATATTCGCGCCGGAAGAAATAGCAGCAAAAAGGAAAACTATTTGAAAAGCATTTTTTCGCCCACTCATCATCTCCTGCTGTGTTGCTGTTGTGGGAGCTGTACAAGTTGTCGACTCGAAGGACAGGCAGCCATCACAAATATATACTTTACGGTCAAGCAGCCAGCGCCTTACCGGGTTCGAGGCGGAAGTGTTGAGTTGAAAGTGTATTCACAGTACAGTGAGGTGCTCAGTGGCGGTGGTGAAGTGAACCGTGAAGAAGGGGCGAAGGGTCTCTGTGGGTGTCTTGTGAGAGGGAAAGCCGTCGTAAGAAAATTGTGAATAAACAGAGTGCGCCCGGTGAAGAATAAACGCTCGAAGCTGTTTGCCGGTGGAAAAGTAAGAAATTCTTGTAATAACAACTTTAGCAGAGGGAGTGACAGTGTTGATGAATAGTTTTCAGCTGGATATTTCCTCTTTTCAGTTGCAAGTTGAACTGTTGCATTGTCGCTTTCGTAACGGAAAATTCTTTGTGTTTTCTCTTCCTTTCGCAGTCTTAAACATTCTTCAAAGTGAAAAGCAAGTGCTATCTAGTCAATCTTGAAATCCAATCAACCGATTTTCGTAGAAGCTTCTCGATAGTGGTGCCACTGACTGTGGTGTTGTAATTTCGAATCTTACTGTTTGAGTTCGAACCTCTGGGCAATCGGTCCCAGCAGCGAAGCCATTCATCCGGAATTGTCGTAATCATCAACGTTCTCCTCATCCTACATCAAAGAATCGTCCATCCTTTTTATCAGCAGCAGCAGCGAAATTTTTAATCCTACTGGTGGATGCTCGAAATGGCTGGTTGGACTATTAAGGTGAGTTGAACTTTTATCGATTAGTCTGCAGTTGCAGTTTCAGGTCCCTGTCAATTCCTTTTCCCGAACAGAGAAATCAATTTGATATGTCGTACCAATGATCAGGAAAAAAAATGATGAAGAATGTGCACAAAAATCACCATTACTGTCAGTTTCCCCGCCCATCTAACTGACAGGTAGTGGATTGTTAATTTCCATTTCTGTAACTATAATCTGCAACCTAGATATGCACCACCGACTGACACGAAAACGTTGCAATTTTTTCCCCTGTTTTGTGGTTTGCCTCGCTTCCATTTCAGTCGAGCTTCATCGAAATCATCACGGTTGATGGGTTGCAAAAATCGCTGATATGAAACGAAAATGAACCTGATAGAGCTGAGTGATAGATGGCGGTCTGAGTGAGGAGTCGGAATTTGTACATCTCACCAGACAGGACAGGCCCGTCATAGCTGGGCGTGGTGAAATGGGATTTTTCCTAAATGAAATGTCACATTTCCGAGCCGAAGCTGTCAATTTGGTTGGGTTAATATCGACAGCAACTTGCCACCGGTGTTTGGTGCCCCAGTCGGTTCGATTGGGTGAGCCACGGGACATTCGATTGACAAATGAGTTCGTTGAGTTGAGTGATTGATTCGATTTGTTAAGGGTGTTTAAGCTAATGAAATACCCGGGAGCTATGGAATTTAAGGAGCTTGGATGTCTTAGCGAAGAACGTGCGAATTGATTTGAGTTTGCGTTTCTCTAGTATTTATATATTTAAAACAAAAACAAAATCAAATCACCTCTCACCTTTATCGCATCTTATCTTTGGAATATTTTTTTTCGCGACAATGTACGTAGTTTCAGATGCACTATCCTGCAACTATCAAAGATAAACACTGGCCGGCGCCGGTGGTGTAGTGGTAAGCGTGACTGCTTTCTAACTCCCCAATGGGTCTGGGTTCAATCCCAGTCGAGGTCGGTGGGATTTTTCTGAGGCATAAAAATCTCTGGTAACGTCTTACTTCGGAAGGGAAGTATATCCTACGCAGGTGTGGAAGCTGCCTTCCTGCACATTCGATTGCCGTCAATGGATGGCAATCGATGTCCGTCGGTGATTGGCACTAGATTTCGGAACAGAGACCGACGTTAAAAAAAAAAAAAAAAAAAAAAGATAAACACTTCAAAAATATGAAGAATATATAATTTCCATATTATGGTTTTCATGAATATTTAGACTATAGCGACGGAATTGTGTAGGTACAATTGTCAAAGGCTACCACCTTTCCTTATTTTCGTTATGTGTCTTGATCAATAATATTTCGTAAATATAAATAAGAAACGTCATTTAACATCGATCATGAACTATTCTTGAATGTTCAAAACCATAAAAAAACAATTGCAAAAATACTACATATTGCGTAAAATGGCATCTATTATCGTCTCCAGCGGGAGTTCAAGACGACAATATCTATTTCATCCATTTGGCGCACCATACACAACGCTGGATTGGCCTGGAAATGTTTGGAACGACGTGCAATTCAAATCAAGGAAAGTGATGTAATCCGTTTTTTCAACGAACTTTCGTGCACTCAGTGGGACTACCACAGCCTCGTCTTTTTAGACGAGGTTAGTTTCGACAACAGGTCCATGTTACGCTCCAGAGCCTACGGAGTTCGAGGCCACCGCTTAGTGTTTCGAGGAGAATTTATACGGAAGCCTAGGGAATCATTGCTCTGTTTCATTGGACAAAACGGAAGCCTTTTCTACCAACCGACTAAACCTTTTTTTATGCTTTCGACGATTTGCTCTAGAAACGGGCCATGTTCAATGCTGTCCAGGAAGACATTCGATATGGATAATGGATGGAGCAAAAATTCACTGCAGTGCAAAAATCATAGAATATCTTCGATCAATTGGAATATTCCCTATCTTTCTACCTGCGTATTGCCCTTTCTTTAACCCTATGGAAGTCGTTTTCGGATTATGCAAGAGACAATTTCAAGCTATCTATCAGGTACTAGTAGTAGCCGAAGTTATGGCTACATTTATAAATTACAACATGTCTAACTTGTTTAGAAAGTGTGCCGATGTGTCTGATTTCAAGAGTATAAAAAATGATCTTTGCAGGCAAATTCTACTTATCACCATTTGTTTGATATTTCGTTTTGAAAAACCTTATAAATACAAAATGTGTCAACAAATGGGTTTATTCGTTGAAAACCAGATATCTCATTTGCTAGTTGAATTACTCGTGATCTACACCCTCCATGTCAGCTACCTGCCCAGCAATATGTCGACTGCTTTCTCCTTCGGAAACTTCCATCTCACTTATGAATGAGTCGCCCATGCGTCCACGTTGTTCCAAAACTTCGATTCGATGCTCGAATTTCATTTGCAATTTCATATTCTTGACCACTACCTCAAGTGAGGAAAACGCTTCCTTGAGTGTTGTTATTTCTTCACAAAACGATGCATTTACATTTTGAGCTACTACCAACCCACGCTTCACACTTTCAATCTTCGGACCGTCCTGTGTTCTGAAAAGATCTCGAGGAACGGAATCAATCATATTCTTACGCGTATGAGCTGGTGAAGCAAGTATGGCTGAAGTCCACCTTGTCCATGTCATTTCGTGTCCATCCCCCAGATGACCATGTCGTTGACGCAGATCCTTGGATAAATCGGCGATTAATTGTGTCGAGGCTGCTCCTGACTTATCGCGCTCAGATGGGTCAATCAAATGTTGCTTCACTGAATTGAAAATCTTACGGGAACTTACGGACAGGTGAATATATTTTCCTTTCCAGTTTTGAAGCATCGTGGTGGTTAGTTTGTCCAACGAAATATACTTACGATTTTGCTTCTGGTAAAAGATAGCAAACATCGCCAAATCTTGTTTTTCCGTTGCACCGTTTTTTCATCGTCTTGCTGGTTAAAAATAACTTTTTGAAGCAGATGAGGCTTGCAACGTTTCTATAATTTCTTCTTAAATTCACTGAGCAACTTTCCAGCTACATTCCAGTGAGTAATATGAGCGCCGGAGGACGGCCTTTAAACTCGCGTAGAAACACCAGCAGTCAACAGTTGAACAAAGCTCGAGATTTGTTTCCTTTCGGTTTAGTCACGGATTCAGGTGGTTCAGACAACTCATGATCACTTTCGGAGTCGCTCCAGTCGTAGTCGAGAATCTGAACGTCTTCGAATAACGGGTCATCGAGTGGGATCTCCATCGGGTCTTCGTTCTCATTATAATACTCACCATCATCGCTACGGGATGCCATTCTCTACACTCAAAAAATTCCACACGTTTGATCCAAGTGTTTAAACACTTGATTTTTTAAAATTCACAATCACATTTACTTTAAGTGGTTCAATGTGTTATACACGTTAATTAATAGTGTTTCAAACTTTGAAATGTTGAAAATCTTTCACTATCTATTCAAGTGTATTGCACATTGAATCACACTACTGTTCAAAACAGATGGATTTTAGGTATTTTGCATTTAAATACGATGTGAATTGCATGCTCAGAAAGGAAAACATCAAAACAAGAGTTGTGACTTTATCCTATCAACCCGCCTCATATATAAGAAAAACAATGGCACAGCGGGATCGAACGAAGACTCCGGCAGCAGCACACCCCAGCAGTCCATGATCGAATCCCAAATCAGACCCATTAAAAAGATATGTGACAGCTCTGACCTCTGGCAGTTTTGTTTATATATTTGTCGATTCATTTTTATAGTCGGCGAAGTAGAAGTCGATAAAGTAGAATATTGTAGAATATTGAACTTTGATGTGCAATGCTATTGGTATCACCATATGAGGCATATATAATCCAAGTGTGTCACAATTCAAATCCATAGTGCTCAGGCATGATTCATAGTATAAGATTCACACCTGAAATGGATGTGTTTCACAATAAGCGCAACATTAAATGTGAGACACATGATGATGACGTGTTATATTTTTTGAGTGTAGACCGTTCGGTCCTTTTCCGGAAGATTCCTACAACGATAATATTATTACAACAGTTGAATTTTGATCTGCGAATCGGCAATCATACCAGTTTTGTTGTAAAACAGTTGAAACAGTTTAAAAGTTAAGCACAATAAAACAAACTTATCGAACAGTTATAATTCACGCCAAAAACAAAAAAAAAATCTATTCAATTCTCATTCTGTGAACAATGTTCAAGATGTACGTAGAATGTTGGACAAAGTGAGAGCGAAATCGAAAGCGAAATATCGCAACGATGAAATTGATATCAGTGGAGTCTAAATGAAGGAAAATTTCCCAATAATTCAGTTTATTGAAATGATGGAGCTTTAGTGTCTCCGAAGAATTTGGGTATTTTAGTATTGCACACAACTTTGTAGAACATACACACTTAGAAATAACTAATTTTACACGTGACGAAATCCGACTTTGACATAAAAGATGAGACGTAAACAAACATGTCTTGTAATATTAAGTGATTCGAGACTGAAAAGTTCGTTGCTCGACAAAAAGTACGCTAGATTATGTGTCACGCTCAGAGCACCTTAATTTACATGATTTTTTCTTCTAAATGTGTAATAATGGGTAAAAAGTTAAGAAAAAAAAATATTTTTGGGCCATCCTAAAAATACGGTCTTTCGCAATGAATGCGTCAGCTGTTTCTGAAGTCACATGGGCTGGCGCTTTTCGTTTAATGTTTATTTTTTATGATCGGAAGAGTGTAGTGTCTTATTTGTTCATGTATTTTCTCCAAATTCCCTATACAAAACTCAAACTAAAAGTGCTAGCTCATCTTACAACCAAATGAGCTGAAACTTTTAGAGAATTATTTTTCTCACCTAAAGGAACAAATCTAGGACTTGAGAAAAATTAGAACTTTTATTTTTGTGGTCCAGTCTAATGCACGTCTTCCCGTTTCAAAAATACCCATATGGTAAGGCATCTAAGATATTTTTTTTTTTTCGTTAACCGGAATAGCCATCTTGAATTCCAAAATGGCGTTGGACACGGATTTACAT